CAGAGGTGAAGAGGACACCAGAAAAGTTCCCGGACTACATAATTGTAAACAACGTACTGTATCGACACATCGCAGTCCAGATGGATGATGAAGACACAGTACCGTGGAAGCTATGCATGGCAGCGCCACTACGTGAGAGAGTACTGAAGGAAGTTCACGATAGTCCAAGCGCAGGACACATGGGCATCCGCAAGACGATAACGAGAGCGAAGGCACGTTACTACTGGCCCGGAATGTTCAGGACATAAATAATCAGACATAAAGAGGTATGTCCGACAGTGCACTACTTGCCAGATTTACAAGCCCAGCCAACAGCTGCGGGAAAGATGCTAACCCAGATCGCAGAAGAACCTTGGGCCACAGTATGCGCAGACTTTGTGGGACCATTGCCACGATCAAAGCATGGAAACACAACCGTACCAGTCTTTATCGACAAGTTTTCCAAATGGGTAGAAATTGTGCCTCTACGGAAGGCGACAGCTGAAGGCCTCAACAAAGCGTTTCGAGAACGCGTACTCGCTAGATTTGGAGTCCCGAAAATTGTAATAACTGACAATGGAACACAGTTCACCAGCAGAGAGTTCAAACGGCTACTACGAGAGTACGGGGTCAAGCATCAACTCACCGCACCATACACGCCACAAGAAAATCCGTCGGAGAGGGCAAACCGCAACATAAAGAGAATGCTGGCACAGTTTACCGGAAAAGAACAGCGAAATTGGGACGACTTACTACCCGAAATGATACTAGCGCTTAATACCAGTGTTTGCGAAGCCACCGGCTACAGTCCTGCATTCCTAGTACAAGGACGCGAGCCGCGAGTACCAAAAGCCCTCTACGACGAACAAACTTTCGGTACCGGCCAAACGACGACGACACCAGAGGCGAAGGCAACGAAAATGCGAGAGATATTTGAGATGGTAAGGCGAAATCAGCAGACAGCGTCGATCGAGCAAGCGCGTCATTACAACTTGCGCAGGAGGAAATGGCAGTCAGGGGTAGGTGACCGAGTGCTGGTGAAGGAGCATCACCTATCGAAGGCGACGGAAAACTTCGCAGCAAAACTTGCACCGAAGTATGCAGGGCCGTACCGAGTGATGAACTTCGTTTCGCCAGTAATCATCGAATTAGACAAGGTACACAACGGTAAGAGGAGAACAGCTCATCTGAGTGAGCTGAAGCCATTTTACGGCGATGAAGAGGCCGACGCGGCAGAGTCACCAAAAATCCTCCTCCGGCATGCACCTGAGCCTAATTCGATGCAAGGCAAAGAATAGGTAAATTTCGGTCATAGACAGAAATGTGATAACTCGGCAATTGCCAAATAGGGGAGCGATTGCCATGAAAAGGAGACCCTAAGGGGAGAGAAGAAGAAGAGAAAATATAAGAGAAAAGGGGGAGGAAGAAGAGGGAGTTTAAAAGAAAGAAGAAAAAAAAGCAGCTCAAAAGAAAGAAGAAGCAGTTTAAAGGAACGTAGAAAAAGCAGTTTAGAAGGAAAAAAGGGGAAATGAGAAGAAGAAGAAGAAGAAGAAGAAGAACGAGGTTGAAGCACGAAAATACTATGAAAAAAAGGGAGATAATTCATGCCAAGAGAAATAAACATAACATATATAAACACAAACATAACATAGGCAATATAATTATTAATATATATAAAAAGCATTAATACACAGAATAATATCAGCAAATATAATAATAATAAAAAAATATGATAATAATAATTAATATCGTAAAACGGATACAACATTTTCTCAGACTTTCAACACTATTCCGATATTGACATATCGATCCCTGCAAAAATCCCCCTTGTGGGAGAGTGCGCAACATTGCAACATAACAGCTGAATAAAACAATAACAAACTAAAATATTATAAACCAAAAAAATAACAAAATGCAAATAATTTGGAAATATACAGTTTGTCGCGCAAAGGCAACTGTTTCCCAAATGAATAATATAAAAGGACATCGCAAAAGGACTCGCTACTCAAAAAGTTACTGCAGCGATGGATACACGGGCAACTGGCGAACTGTTCAAGGCGATGGGCGTGAAGGACGGCACTTTGAAAGTGCGTTTGCGCCGCCTAACTGAAGCGGAGATCAGGCAACATACTGGCGTTGGTGAAGGAGAAGGCGTCGAAGACAACGCAAGTCAGGCCAGCACCGAAATATACGTGCGCGAAGGTGGAGACAGTTGCGCGAGTGATGTGGGGTGTTGGAGTCCTGCATCATACTATAGTAGCGGCTATACGCCAAGAAGTCCGGAAGCAAGCAACGGGGTTGGTAGCCAAACGCCAATCGAAGTATGCGGCGATAGCAACGACGATGACTACAAGTGGCATCTAGGCGAGATGATAAGGGCACCCACGCCGATCGAGGTGTCCGATGACAGCTATGACGAGCCACGCAGGGGCGAAATGGACATCGAACAGGACTGCCAACGCCCAGGTGAGGGTTACATAGAGTATGTCCGGCGCATCACAATGACGATGCGAATTTTTAACGATGCGTCACACAACACCGAATCGTGGCGATAACCACCTGCGCAGGCATTGTGCGACGTTACGGCGGCGACAGTAACAGCTGACACCAGAAATTACGATGAAGGAAGCGAAGAGGAGAATGCGCTCACCCTGTTGGTGGAGGAAGACCGCGGGTTGGAGCAGTTGTTGGAGGAGTTGGCCAGCACAAACACAGAGCCAGCAGATCCCATGATGATTCAGGAGATCGAGAGATGGTTGCAGGAAGATGCAGCGCAGCCAGCAGCAACACCAGACGACTGGCGAAATTTTAGCGGCACAAGCCCGCTACCAAGGGAACTGGTAAGGGTCATCCAAGAGCGGCTGCAGCGACAACAAAATAGACGCCAGACCTTCAGGCATGCGGAGGGTACAATGGCGTACCGCGTGCGTATCACAGGCGCGGGGATGGTGACGATCACGCGTCCAGAGGGAAGTAAAGGGGGGGCGGGGGGGGGGGGGGGGGGGGGGTGTGAAGACCCCAAGTCCATCACTAAGGGCCTCCACAATTTGAATTTCATTTTTATATACACATATATATACTTATTGTTGAATTTTGATAAGTATTATAAGTGAATATACATATTAAATGAATCGTTAATTATATACATACGTGAGATCGAAATACATATGTACATATTTACATTGAAATTCGAAGTACATACATACGTACTTAGGTATCAACAAGTAAAAGGAAGTAAAGAAAATATTAGCAACAATGTTGTAAGGATAACTGTCTGCCTGCGTGCAGGACAGTATAAATAGAGCATCAAATGTAATTTGAAATCACTTCTGGTAGAGTAGTCGTATACTCCAGTCGATCGTGAAAACGCAGATTGGAATGGCTAAGCAACGATTGTGAAGACTAAGATGCTTAGTAGGTAGTTAAGGTATATGGTGTGACGTGAAAACGCTGCCAAAGCAATACGTTATATTGATGTGACGTGAAAACGCTGCCAAGTAGTACTTATATGGTGTGACGTGGAAACGCCGCCAAGGAAATACGTAATATTGGTGTGACGTGCAAACGCTGCCAACTAAATAGCGAAATAAAGAAGTGTCACTATAAGAATCATAGGCGTATTTATTTTAACGTTTGGATAAGGGAACCCAACATCCGACTGAGCCACAGCCCAGCTATAGACCGGATAAACCGGGTTCGTTACACTACATACATATATTCAAATGTTTTCCGCTTCTATTCTTTACAGACTTTGCTAACAACGATAAGGAAAACACGGAAGCTGAAATAAAGGAATCCTGGAATAATTATGATTCAGGAATGCTGAGGAGACCAAAAAATAAAAAAACTTAACTACATTAGTTTGGAAAAAGTTCCAATGCGCAGTCCATCTGGTCAAGACTGGCCCACGTTAAAGCCAAATGGACAGAAGAAAAAGCTAAACTAGAAATTGAACTGATTCGGAAGCAGCATGAACAAAAACTAAATTTAGAGAAGGAAAGGCTGAATTAGAAATGGCACTGATGAAAGAGAAGCATGCATTGGAAATGCAAATTCTTCAAAGACAGCTTGATGTCTAAGCGCTGTTGATTTATTTTAAGTACCTGTAGATTTTTTTTTGCATACCTTTAATGAACATGAAATGGTTTTATAACGTTTTCTTTACCATGTTTAAGTGCAATTGAATTACTTTAAGTACCTGGAGATATTTTTATCTTTTTTATTCCTTTCATATACATGAAATAGTTTTATAACGTTTTCTTTACTAATGTTTAAGTGAAATTGAATTACTTGAAGTACCTGGAGATATTTTTATTTTTTTATATTCCTTTCATGAACATGAAATGGTATTATATTGTACACCCAAAAAAATTGTATTTTGTTAATATTAACAAAGTTTTTCATGTTAAATAATTTATGTTATTTTTTATAAAAATATTATTTATGGTGCCGTAAACAAAATTCCAAGCTTTTTACAAAAACTAGGAAAATTCGATAAAATTTCCTATCATTTTCATGACCATTTTTAAGTTTCGGGTATGTAGTTTTGTAGCCCAATAAATTTTAATCTAATTAAGTGCAAGTTTCAAGGAGTTGAAAATTACCGTTGCTTTTTGAGAATTTTTTTGTTGAGGGTGTTGAGATTTTCTTCCATATAAAAATAAATTTTGTTGATGTTTTATATGGAAGAAAATGTTCCACACTCTCGACAGAAAAATCTGAAAAATTAGCGATAATTTTTAGGTATTTGAAACTTTCATTTTATTAGACTAAAACTGATTGCTCTACAAAACTGCATACCCGAAATATTTCTAAAAAATCTGATCAAAAACTTGAAAATTTTCATGAAAATGAATGGAAATTTTATCGCATTTTCCTAGCTTTTGTACAAAGTTTGGAATTTCGTTTTTCGGTGTTTGTTGCACCATGAACCATATTTTTATAAAAAAAAGAACATAAATTATTTAACATGAAAAAGCTTGTGAATACTAACAAGATACAATTTTTTTTGTGTGGACGCTTTAAGCTGTGAACTACCATAAGAAAGTTTTCTCGTTTTAAGTTAGAATGAGTCCTCAGTGAATTATTATATTTTTAGTTTTTTTTTTACTAGAATAAGTGTTTATGGTAAAATGTTTTATTGTACAAATGTATGCTTACATGCTTGAATGGAGTGTATNATTTCAAAAGATGTCCGTAACATAAAATAATTATGTTACTACATATTTGCGAAATAATTATTAATTAAAGATCTTCTGGTAGAACCTCTTGCGCTCCGATCATCACCAGAGCGATTGCTCGGTACGGAGAGTTCATCAACAATATTCTGAAAATCTGCTGAAAGTTGCGGAGCAACTTTGTCGCTATGAGCACAGCAAATATTGTGCAAAACCGCTGTCGCCACGATAATACTATGAACTTTTTGTAAGTGCATCCGTAAGCCTAAGGATAGCACAGGACACCGGCGCTTCCAGACACCGTATGATCGCTCAACACAATTCCGTGTTCTAATGAGAGATTCGTTAAACAAATTTTCAGCACGGGTATTAACCTGAGCCAGGGGCGTGATAACTCTATTAGTATTTTCATATCCGCTATCGGCGCCAACAAGTCCGTTACCAAACTCGTCTGATTCCAAACGAAAACGAATCCTTGAGTTACGAAATATCATCGCATCATGGGCTGAACCGGGCCACCGCGCAACAATGTCTAGGATGCGAAGTTGACTATCACAAAGTGTTTGAACATTAATCGAGAAGAAGCCCTTTCGGTTCCGGAACAGCTCAGCATCTTCACCACCTATAAGAAAAGGGCTTTGTTACTTAAATGTAGGGCTGAATACTTAAATGTATTTTCATTTAAATTTTATTTATAAGGAGATAAAATTTTAACGTGTGTACAATCGATAGACGCAACANGCTGAATACTTAAATGTATTTTCATTTAAATTTTATTTACCAGGAGATAAAATTTTAACGTGTGTACAATCGATACGCGAGGAAATTTAGCCAATTTAAAGAAGTTCCTTTGACATTCTTTTATTTCCTCAACCCTGTTTGGAAAATTTATAAAATCTTTTCTCAGCATTGCTATATGGTGTGAAGTGCACGTTATAACTCGTGAGGCTGTAGCTTTTGAGACACCAAACAAATCGCCAATAGTTTGCAGCATGCCTCCAGTTGCATAAAAGCGCACTGTTAACTACAGGGCCTAGCAAAAAGTGTTGTATGCACAGTTTATAGAAAATTTTATTACCTTTTAAAAGCTTTAAACCGTTTTGGAATTGCTTAATTCGTTCTTGAGATATATATGATAAAGTGGACCCAA